TTATCGATTAGTACACTTATGTATATGTATAATCGGAAGAGCAAAAAAAATCATCGAACTTTATCTCCGCTAAAACGCTTCTGACATCGTAACGCGATGACAGACTAACTATAAAAGATAAAATTGTCATGTGTTCTCACGACAAGGCGAGATTCTTCGGCACAACACACCGGAAAGGAGGAGAGAATCATCTACGTCTACGTATGGTACGCGTCAACGCACGATACCTATTTATGTAAATATATATGTATGTGCATATGCGTCTATGTATAAACGTAGGAACTCTATACGTCCGCGTACGCTCGGGATATCACAGCTAAACGACATTAAGTTTTCGCGTCATCCGCTTAAAGCTAGAATAAATAAGTTTCACGAGCCGTCTAAACTCGTTGTCGATCCTTTCACGTACTATTGTCACCTGCGCGTATCGCAGACTCCGTCGATTTAATCGAATGAACTCAAATCCGTGACCGTGTAACAAGCCGCCTTGATCGTGAGCGTAATCTGTGTTGACATATCGATATAAATATCGGAGTCAAGACGGCTAATCTTAAAAGTACATCTGCAAATTTATTCTCTCTGCACTTTTTTTCTCTTTCTTCTCAATATGCATTTTCATAATACATACTGTTCTTTCATTGATCTCAGATTGTTGAGTGCCTGAGAATGAAAATGGAGTTTTTAAATTCCTTTACATACACACGATAAGATTATGTGTTTCACTTTAACGGCAAGTGTAATCCATTGGACCGATATTTTTGGCGAGTCTAATCGATTTGAGTGCGCCGTATACTTCGAAACATTATTATCAACATTATGTTCTATGCTCGGCATGTATGTTATTGGATATAATACTGTTCTGAAGTAGATCTTTTAATACTGGTCTCTAAGTACGCAATCGTTATTGATGAAATACTTTTATTATCATCCAATAAAGTTTGATTCTATCATCATTCAAGAATATTTGAATCAAAATTATTAGATTAGATAATTTTTTTACGGCTGTTGAGATACATAATCTTACAATTAGTACAATAGT